GAAAAAAATCTATAAAGTTAGTAAGACTTGGGGTTGGTCACAGAAACTGAGAAACCAAAAGGTGTACTGAGCTTTCCCTCTTGTGAAGTTAGCATATGAAATTCAAATACCATAATGGCTTGAATCATTAACAACTAGCACATATACACTCGATACTATACTTACAAACAGGATTCTAGAGAAGACATTTGATAAACTGTATTCCCAGGTAGATAAAAGTTTGCACCAAGGCTGATGAAAAGAAAACCAAGACACTACTGGGAGAAAAAACCTCAGTGTCTAATAATGGGGGCTGTGGATACTGTACAATTGATGTGTTTTACATGAATATTTCAGTGGGAAAAAATGCTCACAAAATATTATTTGGTGAAAAAGGCAAAGTGCAAAACTACGTATCGGGACTACTGCTAGTAGGTACAGGGTTTTGGGTTCCTTTTATTGGGGGGGTGGGGGTGGAAATGACCTGGAATTATATAGTGAATATACTAAAAGGCACTGAATTATATATACTTTAAAAAGGTAAATTTTATGTTAACTCAGTAAAAAATTAGAAACAAAAAAATGGTAGTATATAAAAATGATGTGGACATACCTTATTTTGTAAAGAAATAAGATCATCACAAGGCCAAATAACAAAAGGTTACCACTAATTCTCTCTGTTGGTATGCTTACAGACAATTCCACATCAATTCAAAAATTTTATTTTAGAAAAGGAATTATATATAAATAAAAGAAACGTTTGAAAAAAGTTACTATTGGATAATTCTCATTTTTTAGGACATTAACTCATCAGTGACATGCTCAGAAAACCTTATCTTGAAAGACAGGGGACACATCATTGAGTACACTTTCTGGTACAGGGCTGACTTTTAGAACAGTGTTAGTGCTTCACATACCAAATAAATAAATAAATTCACCACTGGTGATAGGGATCTAATCTGGAATATAAACCAAAGCAGATTAAGCTAATTCTATCACAAATAAATGACATAACCACAGTGAGGTTTAGGGAAAAAAATTTTTTGACTATATACTCTAAGGCCAAAGACAAAAAGAACTGTATACAAATTGTGTCCTGAAGTCAGTTGGTTTGTTTTTCACAGGAATATGAGTTAGCCAATCTGGAACTGCTTTAAGTGTATTCTTAAAAAAACAAAAAACCTCACTGCTGTTGAGATGATTTGACTCATAGCGACCCCTCCTTGGGTTTCTGAGGCGGTATCTCTACAGAAGTAGATTGCCCAGTCTTCCTTTTGAGGACTGGCTGGTGGGTTTGAACCACCAGCCTTCTAGTTAGCAGTCAAATGCCTTAGGCATTGGACCACCAGAGCTCCCAAGTGTATTCTAGGATTGAGCAAATCAGTAAATATATTGTGGATGATGAGAGCCAGGCTTCTTGTTGCCGGAGAAAGGAACTACATCTAAGGAAAAGGGAAAGACTACTCTTTGGGGTTAGAATGCAATCAAAGACATCAGTATAAACTGAGCTCACATATTGAGTTCATGCTGATACCTTCGCTTCCAGTCCAATATGTGCATATTTATGTGCACACATATTATACACAGACCTAAAGAGACTTGTGTGTATACCTATATATATTATTTCTAACCTCTGTCCACTGAGAAGGCCTAGAACTTCAGCCTAGCAGCAACGAGTGTAACTACCACCCAGATCTTAGTTTTTACATACCATTCTCAAATAAAAGAAACCCTTGTGTTCTGTAAGGAGGTCTGGTGGTGTAGTGCATAAGGCATTTGGTAGCTAACCAAAAGGTCAATCGTTTGGACCCACCAGCCACTCTGCTCAAGAAAGATGAGGCAGTCTGATTCTGTAAAGATTTAAAGCCTTGGAAACTCAAGGGGGTTGGTATGGGTCAGAATTGACTGGATGGCAGTGAGTTTGGTTTTTGGTTTCTTGTGTTCCTTAGGTAAATATCTGAATGCAGGGCTGGGGCAGGAAACACACAAGATGAGCCTGGACCAGCATGTGGAATCAGGAAATAAAGATAACTTCAGAAAATGATGGGAATATGTTGAAAGGACACAAATCTATGATAATCTGAGTAACAAAAATAAATAATGATAGTGTTATAGATTGAACTGTGTCCTCAAAAATATGTGTTGTAAATGTTAACCTCTATGTCTGTGGTTATAATTCCATTTGGGAATGGGTTGTTTTTGTTGTAATAATGAGACAGGATTAGTAGAGGGTATGTCTTGATCAATCTATTTTAAAATATAAAAGAGGTTAAAGAAGCAAGCAAAAGAAGTAAAGATGAGGAAAGAGAGATGCCAAGCCACAGGAAGACCAACCAGCAGAAACTCAAAAGAGACAAGGACCTTTCCCCATAGCTGACAGTGAGAGAAAGCATTCCCCGAGAGCCACCACCCTCAATTCAGACTTACAGCCTCCTAAACTGTGGGAAAATGAATTTCTGTTTGTGAAAGCCACCCAGTTACGGCATTTCTGCTACAGCCGCACTAGAGAACTAAAATAGTAATGGATGTTAACTCATTGTTTTGGTTATCTTGTGCTGGTCTAACAGAAATACCACAGGTAGATGATGGCTTTAACAAACCAGGATTTATTCTCTTATAGTTTAGGAGGTCAGAAGTCAGAGTTCAAAGTGCCAGCTCTAGGGGCTGGGTGAAGGCCACTCAACTGCAGGCTTCAGCTCTGCCTCTTCCTCCCAGACCACTGAAGCTAGAGACTTCTCTTAACTCAGGCAGCTGCTGAGGCTGACAAACCCAAGGTCAACAAGTAAAACGGCATACTCCCAAGGTTATCAATCAACATGGCAGGCTACTAAATGAAGACTTGGCTACATGCAGGGTCCAAGCATGCCAAAAAGCTCAGGGACCTTTCTCAAAATGTCTTCTTATATACTGGAAGCAGACTACATCCCTAAGGCAACTACTCAACTGCTCACAGCAGACTCCACCATGGAGCTGATTGCCAGTCTCATCATGGGGAATCACTACATCCAGCTGCCCAGCCACTCAAAACCAGGCCTGACCAAGGTGACACATAACCTTAACTACCACACTCACAGAATAAAATATGTATTTTAGTAGTGGAATTCTTTCTTTCTTTTATTTTAAACAAATTACATGAGATCCTAGATAGAGTGGGAGAACAATGTGGAACAAAATTCAAAATCACAAAAAAAATTTTAAAGTAACCAGATTTGCTGGTCTAATAGAGCCTGGTCAGACCCTTGAGACTATGGCTTCTAGTTACCCTTTAGGTGTGAAACTGCACTCACTTCTGTGGCTTCCAGCCAAACAATAGACAGGCACATGGGGTGAACATTTACATCAGGTAGATACACACTCATTGGAGCGATCTATTGTGGGAGAACAGAAGGGCAGTGTTTGCACAGGAAGACAGCTGGGGTGTGGGGGGGGAGTCATGACAGGGAAGGACACAGAGAAGGGAAAACTATGGAGAGGAAGTGAGAAGAGAGCTGTTACACTGTGGGGAATTACAGTCAATGTCATGAAATAAAATGTGTATGAACTTCTGTATGGAAAATCAATTTGCTCTGTAAACTTTCACCCAAATCACAATACAAATTGAAAAAAAAATTACACAGAACAAACTTCAGGGGTTTTGAGACCTCCAAAATACCACTTACATCAAGTTGTCAAAGTTAACATTACCATTAAAGAGACATCAAGAACATTTATCTGCTAATATGATGCACTAAGAAGGTTACAACATCACATCTGTGCTATCCTTACCAAAATGCATAACCTGAATCTAATAATGAGCAAACATCAAACAAACACAAATTGAAGGGCATTCCACTAACTACCCAGCCAATACTTTTCAAACATATTAAGATCATGAAAGACAAAGGAAGAAACCGTCCCAGATTAAAGATGACTACGGAGACAAGACAGCTAAATGCAAAATGTAACAGCTCAGGGGGCAGGAGTGCATGGGAGGGAAGGACACAGGGAAGAGGCAACTACGTGGAGGAAGTGGGAAGAGAGCTGTTGCACTGTGGGAAATTGCAGTCAATGTCATGAGACAAAGTGTATGTGAGCTGCTGTATGGAAAATGAATTTGCTCTGTAAACTTTCACCCAAATCACAAAAAAAGAAAAAAAAGAAGAACAGGCTTACTGATCTGATGAAGACTAGTAGACTCCCCGAGACTATGACCCTTAGAAACCCTTCAGGCCTGGAACTGAAATCACTCCCTTGGCTCAACTTTCAGCCAAATGATAGACAGGCCTATAAAAAGTGAACAATAATAAAGGAAGGGATGCACTCATTAGAACAATCAATCATACAAGAGCAAAAGGCTTTGCCCATGCACAAAACTCAGAAGGCAGGAAGAGGACAAATGGAAACAGTAAATGCAGGGAAGAAGTGAGATGAGTGCTATTTCATTTTGGGGATTGCAATCAATGTCACAAAACAAAATATGTATGAATTATTGAATGGAAAACCAATTTGCTCTGTAAACACTCACCCAAATCAATAAAATAAATTGTTTTTAAAAAATCCTACTGAACACAACATAGAACAGATCATCAAGTTCTGGCCTATAGATTTGCAGACTTCAGACGAGTTACTTCACCTTCACATATGCTAGGTTTATTAAGCATAAAATGAGTGGCTTAAACTATAGTTTAACTTTCTGGGGTGATGGAAATGTGTTATTTTTTGATTGGTGTAGTGGTTGTATGGATGTATACATTTGTCAAAACTCATGGAACTAGACACTTTAAATGGGAACATTTAATGTAAATTATACTTCAATGAAATTTTCTTAAAAACTTCTATCTCAAATCTCTTGCATTAAAGGAAATTTCTGGTTCCTAATTTATGAAACAGACCACCTCTGGTTTGTTGCTGCAAATTGCAGTGATAAGACAACAAGAAAAATTAAAACTAGAGGGGGGAAGAAAACAACAAAAACGATGATGAACTGAGACAATACTGGATTAAACTATCATCAGTTAAATTATCAAAATCCCATCACATACCTTATAAAAGAAATACTGTACAAGGTGTGCTATTCTCACATAATACAGATGTCCATGAGCCAATAGCAGTTTCTTTAAATGTTTAAACTTTGGAACCGCATAATCACTATTTCTGGCTGCGTGGCGACCTTCTTTGCCTTTAATGCCTAAAAAGAGAATATCTCTATTGGGTGAGTATATTATAGAATAAGTAGCCCTCTGATTTTTTCTTTTAATATGTTAAACTTGCTTAAATATTATATTTCACCTTTATACTTTACCTTTTTCTAAAAACCAAAAGTGCTTTCTTTAAAGCAGCACTGAGACTTTCCAGTAAAATGGAAAACCAAGTTTAATTTGCAGCTATGTATCAGTTAACACAATATGAAACAATGGAATAGAATCATTATGTTAATTACTACAAGGCAAAAAATATCCGGAGGAAAAATTTAAACCTGAAAAACCTTTTGAAACTACTTAGAAGTATTTAATTGTGTATGTCACAGGACTAGATTAAGGTGACTCTGTTCTAAGAGCTCAAAATCTTTTCACTGAATGAAACTCAAGTAGTAGCCAAAGTATTCCATGAACTCAAGTAGCTTTGGGCCATTTCCACACTGGATAAGTTATGAATAAAACTTTTTAAAAGAGTTCTGCACCAAATAGGGCAACTCCCAATAGGAGAGAAGAATTTGGGAATCTAAACTGTAGTACAATGATTCTCAAGATTCTAATTCCACACCTCCTCCCCCACAACCCCCCACACATACAAACTTGCTGGGGTATTAGGATTACTGCCTAACAGTAACCTGACAGGGAAAAAATGATGCAGGTGGCAGAAAAGCTGTCGTTGCACATCAACATATAAATTCAGCACTATAGCCTAAACCACCCATTAAGAGTGTCATGTGGAAAACCAGTCAAACAATGACCATTTCTTGGTACCCAGGAGTTAAATATCTCCAAAGATATAGTGCAGCGACATAAGCAGGCAGTCTAGCCAGGAGAGGAAAATCAATACAATTTCATGCATGCTGTCAAAGTCAGAGCTAAGCAATCAATTGCGCTGCCAGTAGGTTTGGGAAATTCACTTCACTTGGCCAATATAAAAATAGCCCCTCACTTTGTATTACCACATTCCCATTGAGAGTAGGACCTTGGGATAGGTATGTTCCATGATCAGATGAGGCCCTTTGTTCACTTAAAAATTATCATCCCCAAATTCAAATTCAAGATGAGCAAACAAAACAATTTCTCCACAATATAAGACCATTCTACCTAGAAGCAATACTAATACCTTACAGCTGTCATCTCAGTAGATGTTTCTTACCTATTCCCACATGGGATTCCAAGATCATACTAACATCATTGGCACCATCACCTATCGACAGTGTTATTGGACTGCCTTTTAAATTCTTCACCATTCTGACAATCTAAACATTAAATACAAAAGAAGTATAGAAAATGTCAAAGCAGAATGTGAGATTGGACAACATTTGGGGTTTATGACTCATTCATACTTGTAAATGGAGGCCTTTCAGAGAGTTTGGGCACATATGCACAACAGTCAAGAATTCTCGGATGAAGAATAACACAGCTGTTCAAAATGTAATACCAGTGCCCACTTGTTTCTAGTTCTGTGCACATATGAACTGTCAAAAAATTGGCCTCCTAGGCTTCCCTCTTTTGTTGTTGCTTCATGTGTCCTTTCAGATGAGATGTTGAATGTTTGCCAGTGGATGCCAGAGAACGGAACTGGAGTAGCATTGGAAGAAAAGTGGGAAGTCAGAGAACAATGTTTTTGGTTTTTGGTCATTTCTCACTCTCTCCTCCCTACTGACATCCTTACCTTCCCCAGGTGCACCCTGATCCTTATTCCCTGGAATTTATCTAAGGTTAGATTCTGGCTCCCATGAGGCAATCCACTAATCTTCATTGTATCTCCTACTGCTGCTCGATATGGCTTGAGCCTTCCTACATACAGATGGCTGTACTTTAAAAGAGGGCATCATAAAGTTGGTGAGATTTGCAGAAAGATGCAAAGATGTGTATAAAAACTGTTACTACTCTCCGAGTGTCTCCTCAGGGTATGTCAATGATACTATCTAACTCAGTGCTGGGTGTATGCTACATACTGAATAAAATGTTCACCCTGTCTTAGAACACTTTTGCTTCCAAGTTTTTCCCAAACCTTCTCCTGGCAGAGTTATTTGTGGAAAGTATATTGGGTAAGCAGCTGCCCTTCCACTTTATGTTTCAGATAATGACTGCTTGATGTGTCAACTCTCAAAACCCCCTTAGAATCTAGCAGTGCTTACAAAGCTTCAATAATTTAGTAGCTAAATAACACCTTGCAAAATTTCTGTCCTCCCGATTGCTCTCAGTAATTAACATAAATAAAATCCACTTTCAACAAAACTGATTTAAAATAATTTATATGAGGCTAAGCCACTTCAATCTTTGCTTTCAACACAATTTAGTCAGGTTTCACTTGTATTAAATAGCACAAAAATGCTATTTGATAATAGCAGATAATGACAAATCAAAGAAGATACGTTTGGTAGACAGCCAGAC